TTTTATTTAAAAAAGGAAAATTATTATACTTACTGTAATAGTATTATACTTATATAATTATTTTATTAATAATAATTTTATTAAACTATATTAATTATTATATAATTATATTTTATTTCACTTATTAATTAGTTTTAAATATTACTATTAATATTAGTCTTAGTATTAATATGGATAATCATTAAGACAGTTTTTACTGTTAAATAAAGGGTATTAAATTTATAATGTACAACTTACGTAATCATAGTGAACTGAGCACCGTTTTCCAATTAATATAAAGTTAAAATTAATTAAATAATTATCTTATTTTAGTTTGTTTTATATTTAAAGAAAGAAAATTATTATACTTACTGTAATAGTATTATACTTATATAACTATTTTATTAATTATAATTTTATTAAACTATATTAGTTAATATATTATTATATTTTAATTTACTTATTAATTAGTTTTAAATTTTACTATTAATATTAGTCTTAGTATTAGTATGATGATTATTAGGACAGTTTTTACTGATAAATTACGTATATTAAATAATAACTATTTACAATTTATAGTAAAATTAATTAATGTATTTTACCATCAATATTTTATTGGAATAACATGTGGAGTTTTTGCTTCCTGATGTTATTTTAATTATAAGTTAAGTAGTTTTTAATTTTTATCATTCAACATATATATTAATTATAATTTTGATATTTATTATTATTATTATAGATGCATTCCATCCAAATACATGTGATTTTTTTCAATAAAAGTATAGTATTGTATTTATAATGGTTTGTTAAGATATATGATATAGTTAACGTATTAATCGATTTTTATCCATAAAACCTTCGACGACGATGCAACTATTACAGCTTTGATATTCATGTAATCCATGATATCTAATTTTATGATTGGCCCAATATTTAAACGATCTTCTAATAATATATTGCTTTTTTTTAGGTTCAACAAGTCATCCCGACATTTCAAACGATATGCCAACAAATAGCCATTTTCAGTGCCTATAAACAAAATATTCAAGTATATGTACATCGCAGTAGCCTTGGAGTATTTACCATCTAGCCATGAATGAAGAATCATGCAATATCTCTTGGAAATGTCGTAGATTATGATGTCATCATATGGTGTCCGTCCGATGACCAGGCCATGCTCTATCGATGCACACATGATGCTTCTAAATTTAAAACACAAGCCTCTCTTGAATAATTTTGGCTTCAGATTTAAATAACAATTGTACCACGATTGAGTGGTAAAAGTATTAGTGTTCGCGCATGTGAGTTGAACGGTATAATATTTCTTAGGATTTCCACCCGGTGTCTGATCTGTATACACGACTAAACCATTTCGATAGTAAGTCATACGTTTCTGCAGGTCTTTGCGATATTGGTTAATTATAGTTTGAGAATTCGGCATAATACTTTGTTGCATGTTTGGGTTGTAAGATTCTAATATATAATTTTCCATACAGACTTTCTTGTCGTGTTCAATAAGCGAAAGTATACACATATGCTTTTTAAATATGACTTTGACTTCGAGTTTATGACAAACAATTATGTTTATATTGTCAAGACCCAAAAAATGCTGCTCGCTTATAAGCATTTTATTGAAAACAGTGTTTTGCCATTGAAGCCAGTGTTTATATAATCCTTCATACTCAATTTCCGAAATCGATTCTAGTGAAACAAATTTATCGATTTGTTTGTTAAATAGATCAAAAATATATTGTTTTGGTATTTCTTTATTGCAAATTTTTTTCCAGAGTCTATTGTGATGACATGCGTTATTAGCGATAGCATAATATCTCTTGGATAACAATTTGAACTGAAGCATAGTTCTACCATCGAAATGGCAAATAATCATTTCAATTAGTTCAGATGGAAGATTACATTCGATATCAGCTTCCATTTGGCCGACTTGTTCAAAAATACTGTTCATACTGCTACAACAAAGTAACAAACCAATTTCTTTTATTAAATATCGTATAATGAGATTTTTATAAATATATTAAAGATAACTTAATAACTCATAATAGTATGCATTTCTTTAAAAATTAAATTATGTTTGATTTTTTTTTTTGTGTGTAATTGAAAACAAATAATTAAAACAATTTTAAATTTAAATTTTGTGTTGGGAATATAACCTAAATACAATTATTATAGAAAAGTATAGCCGTATAGGACGTTTAAAAACAAGCATTTTCTTTAATAAATTGGGATATGTTTTTATATTTTAATTACTGAAAAAATTTAATATACATATATAATATAAATACATAATTTCGTTTTTATTCTAATGGAATGTGAGATGAAGGTATTCATTTAACTCTCTTAAGCATTCTTCAGGTAACCTAAAAAAATGTCTTAGCTATAGTATAAACCGTATTTACAATGTTTCCTAGGAATGGACAAAATTGTTTGAACATCGATATTCGATGTATCGATACATCGATTTTTAAAATATCGATGAGTTCGATGTATCGGTAAAAAATCATCGATATTTAAGAACATCGAAATTTAAAAATATCGAAAACATTTTTTTCCCTCTAGAGCTGTCATCTGTTGCACACCTTATTATCCGTACAGAGTACTTTTTTCTTGATTAAATAATAAATTTAAGAGTTAAAATACTATTGTTTAACTTATATTTTTTAAAAACAATACTTATAACCTGGTCTTGTAAGTTCATGCATTTGCATGTTTTCTTTGCTACATCGGAAAATATGCTAATTGAGATGAAAATCCGTTTTATAACAATGGTAATAAAAATCTAAAGTTTAATAAAGCATGTTTTTGCATGTTTTTCATGTATTGGCATATTTGGCATATAGTTGACTTTTTTTGAGTGATTAGTGCATATTATTTTATGTTAATTCAGCGAAATCGTTTTTTGTAGAAGTCAAAAAAAAATTAGATCAATCAATGTTTGAATTCATTCTTATTTACTTTTCGGAACTTGTGTATAAAATCTTAGTATTTTATCAATATTTTTATTTTTTAATGACATTCAATTTTATAAATTAAAAGCTGTGCCTCGAAAACAATGTAATTGCGCACCACTACTTTTCTCCTTTTATTGACGTGTTTATTGAAATCTATCAATTTTCGACGCAACGCATGTTCATTAATTATAATTTTAATAAAATGTAATCGAAGAAAAAGTATAAATGAATAATTCTTATTATTTTAAAAAAATCCATAAACGTTTCTTTTTTCATGCTTAGTTAAGGATTTTTAATGCATACTTGATCAAAAGTTAGTGCATTATTATATGCTTATTTTTGCGATTTTTAGTGCATGAACTTACGATCCCTGATTATAACTATATAGTCGTCGATGTCGAAACATCGATATATCAAACTAAAACATCGATGTTTTTTGCCCTTTTTTAGAGTTTTCTATACACATCTAATGCCTTGAGTATAAACAGGATGATTGAAAAAATCGAATAAGGTTCAGACATGCATAAATATAACCCATAAGCTACGAGACGAAAACACCAAGAAACGTCATATACTTATCGATTTATAGGTTCTAGTTAAATTATTATAATAGAATATTCAACATATTTATGATATTAATCCTAATTATCTAATCCGAAATCTTAAATTATATAATGTTCAAACCTATTAAAAGAGTAAAAATCTGGTAACTTAAATTCTTCGGTAATTTAAATATTTCTTTTAAACATCACGTTTTATGTCAATCACGTATTTTTTATATAGAACTAAAAAAAAGGACTAAAATGTTTAGTTTCGAAAAACTATGGTATAAAAAACCTTAGTTGGGGTACTTCCAATAAATGATCTTAATGATTCAGATTAATAATAGGTTATAATATTTATTATTTAAATTATTTACTTAAATTAAATTGATTAATTATGAACATAATTCTTCATATTTTTATGAAGACAATAACCTCTTGGACCACATATTTTTTTTTTATTAGATTTACTTTTTTTGTTAATATGCTTCAATATTAAGGCGAAGTATAAAAAAAGTTCAGATTGATTGAAAATAAAAGTATGGGGAGAATAACACATGACCTAATATGTACCATTATGCATATATGGCTGTGCCCACAGGATATATTGATGTGGTGTTATTGTGGTCGTGGTACATCACACCACACCATTTTAGCGTGCACTTTCGCCCAATGTAATTAAATTCAATTTGATGACAAACAAAACAATTTTACAATTTTGAAATTCGTAATTAAATTGATATTATATTTTATGTAAATAACAAATTGAATATTAGAAAAATAATTCAAAATAGAATTACCATTGAAAACAAAGTGTCTCTATGCAAATTTTTTACAAATTATAAAATAAAATAAAATAATTTTTTTTTAATATTTATACTGATAAACAGAAATGTAACTGTACATATTTAATCAATTCATAACTATTATAACTATAATGTAAAAAAAAGTTATCATTTTTTTTTACTTTATATTTAAATAATTATTGATTCTAAAAACAAAATAATACATTTTTATTTTTGGGTGTGGAAGTTTTTTATGCGTTCTGGATATATTTGTTCATTACATTTTGAGGATTTGTAGTATATACCACTACTATTTTAGTCATCATGACACTTAGAGCACTTTTCATTTCAAATTTTTTAACCAATGAATATCTTCATAATATCTAATTTTTGGAATACTTTTTTTTACCCCGTTTTGGTTTTACGGGTTTTTTTTCTCAGAATTTTCAATATTTTATTATCTTCATAAGTGATGAAAACGTTAACACTCATCTTACTCCATAACATCCCCCTTTTTCTGTCCCTTTCACCCCTTCTCAATGACTTTCAGTCAATCGATAAAATATTTAAACATTTTAAGTATTTTGTCGATTGCTTTTTTCCGTTCCTCCTAAAATCATTCCTATATGAATAAAACTCTATAAATACATAGATTAATATTTTTGAAAAGTCAAGAAAAAATATTTCGGTGTTCTACATTCTCTATTTGTTGATAACACGGAATCATAAATAAATAACTATCTTCCATTATTTTTTACTTCGATATATAATAAAATATATAATGCAACCTAATATTTTCGAATCGTCTAACAAAACTATAGTAAGTAATCGCCATTAGTCATTGATATAAATTGATATAATATAGTCGTATTATATATTATCATGTACGGTTACTTATTTTAATTCAATATTTACTATTTTTATATTTTTATGTTTATACATTTCTATTCTTAGTAAAACACATTTGTTCTATTTAAATATTTATTTTTGTCATGATTTCTCTAAATAAAACTTATACACACGGAGTAATTATAACTTTTCAGTTGACTGAGGAACAATTATTATATTTAGTTTATAAAAAAAGTATTAAAAGTGTGGAAATGTGTTTTCGTACTTATAAAATACAAGCATGGACTATTTGACCATGCAAAATCACTCAATTTAATTATAAGAATAACGATAAACTTATAGTACGTTTTCCCTTGTGCAATCACGAAGATATAAGATCTAACTCTGATCTAACCTTGATCGCGCGCCTTCTAATGTAATGTAAATTAAATTTAATTGATTTTTCTTGCCACCATCAGTAATGTAAATTTGTTCACGCAGCATTCGACTTGTTGTTTTGAAAATTAATAATATGAAATTATTTTAATTTATGATTAAACACTCCTTGATTTCTTTGATCATTCAAACATGAGTTCTGCAATGGCCAAATGTAGTAAGGACCGATACTTTATATTGGTTGAATGCAGAGATGGTTTGAACATTTACATCTTACCGGGGCAGTTTAATTTAAACCACCCCACTTACCCTGAAAATTGTTTTCTGGCTTCCCTCGTATCACATTAAAACTATTTGAACGCTAAAACGTTAATTATGTATCTTCAAATATGTTCATAGATATACTGGTATGCCTACTAAATTTTATTGTGTTTAATCAAAATGTACTTAAAAAATGTATTTTTATCGGGTAAGCCGCCTCTGATTAAATGTGTTGCTAAATATTGTAATTCCCATAATACAGATTATAAAGATTTAAATAAATGAGATGCAAGTTTGAAAAAAATAAGTGACACCGTTGGACGAAGTGGTAAGCAAAATATTATAAATATTGTGTACATATACATAGTGAAGACCGTTGCTCTAGACTAAACCAAAAGAACGCGAAAGCAATTTCAATTCGTGATTCACGATCGTTGACTGCGGTCGTGGTTCGTGTTTGTGATCGCAAGGTAAAACGTATTTTAAAGCAGTACCTAAGAGTAATAAATAGAGTACTGATTTTTGAACAATACAAAACCAATGAAAATCACCTTAAATAAAGCAATAAAGCTCAACATATATTCCAAAAAATCTTAAAAATGGGCTCTTAACCAATAATTATTAAATTATTAAAAAAATATTTACTCTGATACAATTTCTTTTTTGACGATCGGACGATGTATATCTATATTTAGAAACGCTACGTTCAATATCTATAGATGAAATAGGAACAACTTTGTAGTGGACTAAACCATCACATGTCAAATCTTAAAGAAGATCCTCCTTTTATATATCTTAACCTTTTTGAATACTTGATATAAGAATTTTAAATTCCAAATTTTTGTATAGCACATCAATTATTTTTGAAATTACATCTACCGTTTTTCCCGAAGCATGTTGAATTCGATTTTTAACCTTTTTTATAATTAACTACTAAAATTAATTTGCTATATATGGTACGTCACAAGTTATGCAAAGTTGTCAAGAAATTAATCGATAAATAAAATCAAATATGACTACTCATAGATAAAATCAATTGAGCTATGTCCTCGGAATACATTATATAATATAAAAATAAATATTAACCTTTCAAATACGTTTATTTAGAATGTGTTTTGAAAAAAATGGCAAACAAAGTACCTGAAAAATCTGAAAATGCATTGAAATATAAAAAAAAGCAAAATT